TACTAGTTGGGTGACCCTGGGCAAGTCACTTAACTTTGCTTGCCACAGTTTCCTGCTATAAAATGAGCTGGAGAAAAAAAAATGGCAAACCACTCCAGTGTCTTTGCCAAGAAAATCCCAAATGGAGTCACAAAGAGCTGGACAAAGAGCTGAAGAATAACAAGAGTTTATTGAATGGGAGAGAGAGTGATATGATCAGCCCTGCACCTTAGGAAGATCACTTTGATAGCTCTGTGGAGATGGACTATAGCAGGAAAAAACTTGAGGCAGGTCGACCAACCAGAAAGTTATTGTAATAGTCCAGGTATGAGATGGTAAGGGGCTGCACTAGAGTGTAGTGACAATGTCAAGACAGAAGAGGGAGATATAGGAGAGAAGTTATGAAGGTAAAATCAACAGGCCTTAGCAGTAGACTGGTTATGGGGGATGAGAGAGAGTGAGGAGTCTAGGATGACACCTAGTTTGTGAGACTGGATTATTGGGAGGATGGTATTACCTTCAACAGGAAAGTTAGGAAGAGAGTAAGTGCTTAATGGGAAGGTTGTCAGATAGTGGTAGACTTTTGTACCATAAATTACCTCCTTCTCAAGGGAAAGGAGGGAGGTGCATGTCCATCTCTTTCTCACCTAGGACCAAGAGTGGTTACTATGATGTTACAACATTTGGTTTCATTTTCATGTTGTTTTGGCTTATTAGAGCCATTGTGCATATTGCTTTCCTGGTTTTATTTGCTTTACTCTATCAGTTCACACTAATCTTCCTGTTTCTCCAGATTCCTTACATGCATTGTTTATTGTGACACAATAATATTCTATTACATTCATATTTCATGATTTGTTCATTCCCCAATTGATTGGCAGCCACATTTCCAGTTTTTTAGATCGCTCTTTATCTAAACAGATGGATAGACAGGCAGGCAAGCATGCATCTCTTAGTCTCTTGTCAAATCAGTATCCAACAAGATGCCATTCTGAAAGGGAATGAAGACAGACTGTGCCTCCAGCCCTATGTCTTATATATAGCCACTGCTAAATAAAAAGAGAAAGCATGAATGTCCCTCATCTGTGACCTCTAATTTCCAGCTCTCCTGCTCCAATGACGGTTCTGTGCGGCTATGGGACCCAGTGTCTGGCCAGCAGCTTGGCCAGTTTCTAGGTCATCAGAGTGCAGTGAGCGCCGTGGTCGCTGTGGTGAGATAGGAATGGGGTGGTAGGCTTCATGATGGGGAAATGATCATGGGGAAGGTGGGTAAGCTATACTTTTCAGGAAGACTCTAGATTTGGAGGGTAGTCTTATACTAAAACATAATTGGGGTGATCAAGTGTCCTGAATAATTTGTCTATATAGGTTTCAAGTGTATTTATTAGTCAGTCAATAAGCATTTATTAAACACCTACCATATACCAGAGCTTGAGCTAAGATATGGGGATACTAAGAAAGGCAAAAGACATGCCTTATTCTCTAGGAGCTCACAATCCAATGGACTGTAAGCTGCTTTGGATGGGATAGGGAGGTAGGAGTCAAGGGTCTGGTAAGAAGGGTAAGGGATGCTTTATGAGAGGAAGAACAATACACCAGAATTGAACTTATTATTAAATTGTTATGGTGAGCCTACTTAACTACCTCCTAGATTTGATTACTTATTCCAGATGAATTAAGCTTAAGGCTATATCTAATTCTTTCCCTTCTGTTGCAATGGGTGTGTGGGTGGTGAGACAAGCTATGGCAAAACCCACACTTACCTGTCCTCAACATAACCATGATTTTGATGTGGGGTGGGGTGGAACAGGAAGAGCATGTGGTATCTGTGAGCCGGGATGGAACGCTAAAAGTGTGGGACCTCCGAGGAGTGGAGCTGACAAGCATTCCTGCTCACTCTGGACCCATCAGCCACTGTGTGGCTATCCAGGAGCCTCGTACAGGTGACAAAACTCCCTCCCTCCATCCTTTTCCTTCTTCCTTTCTTGGCCCTCTGTCTGACCTCCTCCCTCCATCATCTCCATCTCTCATCAGCTGGACAGCCTGGGTCAGAGCTCTTGGTGATAACTGCTGGACTAGATGGAGCCACACGGCTGTGGCATCCATTGCTGGTGAGTCCCCAATGGGGTTGAGGGAAAGGGAGAAGATAATGATGCCCTGACCATAGTTCTGTGGATTACTTACCATCTCTGCTTCCTCTGTAGGTGTTTCAGACCCATACCCTACTAGGACATAGTGGCCCAATCATTTCAGCTGCAGCTTCAGAGACCTTGGGTCTTCTCCTGACTGCCTCAAAAGATGGCTCAGTGAGGCTCTGGCACGTGCCAGAGAAAGTGGGTAAGTGTGGGCCTGGGAGATCAGGTGGGAGCTTATGACTAGGAGGAAAGTGACTAGTCATTTCTCCTTTCATTCCAACTCTAGTCCCACTTTGTTAGTGTATATATCTCTATATACTACTTATGTGCTTGTTACACTTAAATTTTGACACTACAGATGCTCCCCAGCAAACACCCAGCCAGTCCCCTGACAAAGTATATTCTCAAAAAATAGTTTGTTGTGTTGTTAAAAAGAGGGATGTGTCCTTTCACTGGTACCAACATTCACTGTGTTGCCTATCTGTGTTGACTGTGTTGTAGTCAGTATATCTTGTTCTTCCTCTGATGATGCCTCTCCTCCTCTCCAGATGACGTAGGTGATGGTGAGAGGCGCACAGCCATTACTGCTGTGGCCTGGGCTCCAGATGGTTCCCTGGCAGTGTCTGGCAGCCAGTCTGGGGAATTAATCCTATGGCAAGAGGCCAAAGCTGTAGCCAGAGCTCAAGTGAGTAGGAGTGGCTTGAGTTTTATTGGGGCCTCACCTGGGGCTTGGTAGTATACCCTAGGAAAAGAGGTTGTGCCAGTGTTTGAAAGGAAGGAAGGGTGGAGAGGCTGGTTCTGGGCCCAAGACACTGAGCCCACCTTGTGATCTATACCAGGCCCCCGGCCGAGTCAGTGCCCTGTGCTGGTCCTCTCCACAAACCTTTTTTGCCTTGATCAATGACAAAAACCTCAGCAAGTGGCAAGTGGAAAAGGAGGGCCTCAAGCCCAATATTTTCAGGTGAAATGGAATAAATGGAGGTAATAGGGGCTTCAATCACTGAGCAAAGGGGAACTCGGGTCAGATCACTGCCCCTTTTCAATATTTGGGTAAGATGTCCCTGGAAAACAATTTCATCACCTCCATCTTAGTCCCGTGTAACTCTGGGGTGGCTCTGGTGGAATACAATAGGATTTGGACAATTTTCTCCCCTCTATTAATTTCCCAGCCTGGGCTTTAACCTTCAACTGGACCTGGAGGATAAGAACACTCTGCTGTCTACTATGGACTTGTCCCCAGATAGTCGCTCTCTCATCTTAGCAAAGCCACTTTGGGGGATGCTGCTATTGAATCTAGATTCTCCTGTCTCTGAATCCTGGTAAGATCTTAGGTGCTTCCTTCTTCCTAAGTTGAGGCATAAGTGGGAAGAACCTTCAGGGTATGAAGGTTTTATCTAACTTATATAACACAAGTCTCCCTTCTCTAAAGCTGATCTTGTTTATGAGTCATGGGTACAGATCCACTGAGTCTAGAGAAAAAGGTTCCAAGTTCAATCTCTGTTCCTTTCACTCTAGGGAAAAACACTGTCTCAACATGTACGGTACATTTTCTACCCACAAGAAATATGGTGTATTTCTCCTGAACACTCGAGGTGACATTTCACTTGCTGTCTACGTAAGTCTTGCATGGGAAGCTAAATGCTTCTCTAAGTGTACGCTCCTTGAAAATATGGAGAGTTTGATTCTCTGCATTTGTGTCCCTAGCAACTAGCACGGTGCCTGGCTCGTGGATTAATATGCATTCATTTATCTTTTTTGCATTCATGTTAATTGCCCAATTACACAGAGTTCCTAGGGGACGAATATGTCTTATACTTTGTATCTCCTATAGGGTCTAACATACAGGGCACTCCAAGGTTGGTTTCTTTGGTGTGGCTAAGCTTTGCAGACAGCTATAGTTCAGGGAATCCTGCAGCTAAACCATTACTGAATCTGGACTGAAATTGGCTGGTTAAGAAAATACACACATGTACATAACAAGCTTGTTCCCATCTGTCCCTCAACAGCAGCAGAAAGAGTCAAATAAGCTGGAGTTAATAGAGGATTTTAATCTACAGCTGGAAAATCCCAGAGGAACTCCATTGTGGATAACCCAAGCCAAGCCTGAGTCTGGTAAGCCAGCAAAGGATCCAAGAGAATAGAGACCTAAAGGGGAAAAGGTGCATGCTGAGGGCCTCGTGGCTTGCTCTGGGGTTCTAACTCTGCCCTGGGAATGGCAGACTCTGCTTTTCTGTGTACCAGCTCAGAAGGGGTCCTTTGGAACATGGCAGAACGTACCCCTAAGGGAGACTGGGACACCAACAACATATGGCAGAAAAACATACGACAGGACACAGACGACAAACTCGTGTTGAGGAAGTTGGAGACACGGTACTCCAAGAAGGTGAGATTAGACAGAAAGCAAGAGGATTTTGTGGGAGGTAGGGCTCTGGGGGAGCCTAGCATGCCTGTCTCTCCCTGCTTTCTCTCTTTAGATCCATTCTGGTTCAGTCACAGCCCTCCATGTGCTCCCTGAACTGCTGCTGACAGCCTCCGAGGACCGAGATGTGAAGCTCTGGGAGAGACCCAACCTACAGCTGGTGAGCACAGCAGTAGATATGGGAACTTGGATGGCACAGGGAGGGAAAAACCTAATATTTTGGCCAGTTTCACAGATCCTTTACTGAAAGCCTAAAAAGTGAGACTATCTCCTTGTGTCTGTTATAGAGGGGCCTCTTCCGTTGTGAGGGAGCAGTAAGCTGTGTGGAGCCAAGACCTGGGCCTATGTCCACCCTGCAACTGGCTGTGGGAGATGCCCAGGGCCATGTGTACTTTCTGTCATGGGAGTAAGATGGTTGGACAGAGACAATCATCTGCTGGAGACGAAGTTTGAAGATGCCACAATGCCAGCTTTTCAATATATTTATTATACAAAAATATCAGCAAAATCACAAGTTCTATATTGTCTGATTCGTCACTGGTGAGCTAACCTGAAGAGGGCAGAAAACAAATGATCTTGGGACCCTCACCAGAGCTGGGGGAAGTTGAATCGAATTTTTAGCAGGTATCGCATACGAACCTGGCTAGGGTCATAGACAATGAATTCATTGTAATTGAGGGTATAGCCCTGTGGGTTCAGAACTCCTGTGTTACTTGCTGGTCCTAGGGGCACTGTGGTTCCATTCCTACCAAAGGAAAGAAGATAGAAAAGCTTTGTTAAAAACTTTTCTGGCCAAGGAATAGAAAGAATAATGGGATTGGTCAAGATAATTGTGACTACTTACAGAGTAACATAATGGGAGGGATTGGGAGCCATCTTGCCCATCCCCTTGGTACTGTGTTTGCCCTGTAGCAGTCCTGCTGCTTCAGGATTGGCCTCCAGCAGCTCATTATATTCACCCAGAGCTACCTACAAGAGAAAATGTCCTTGGAATTCACATGCCACACTTCTCCTCTGACAGCTGATGGTGATACCAAATGGAAAGGATTTTAATAGAATCAGTCACCAATTCTCTCATTAACATTCTCTTAAGAGTTAGAGTGGAAGTGACTAGCTTGAGGTCGCAGAGCTGATAATTTGCAGGCCTCGGACTTGAACCCTGATCTTCTGACTCCCAGTAAACCATCATGCTTTCCCTGAGAAGGAAGACTATTGGCATTTTCATCATTCTCTGCCTCATTTCAGCTGAATGCAGTAGTGTAGCAGAAAATGACCGGGCCTAGGAAAGGGTTTTTATTTTCATCCTCTCCTCCCACCATGATGAGGGCTAAGGCTGATAGGAAGTGGGTCCTATCAGATGAGCCCCTTCCTCACCTCTGATAGCAGCAGCAGCCCAACATCCTTCAGGCGTGAGGCAAAGCAGTAGTTGGCACTCTTGGAGGACATGTCAGCAAAGTATATTCCTTTTCCAAACTGCAATTGACAGATATATGCCTAGGTCAGCATCTGAGTCCATAGAAAAAAAGGTATAGCTGAATATACCACTAGCCCTAGATTTTAAACATCTTGAACAAAAGATCAACTCATTCCCTGGAGTTAGGGCTTTCACTGTGTTTCCTACTTTAGCTGAGTGGACATAATGAGGGTAGTGGAGGCTGTTGCTTTCTAAGGACTAGGAAAAAAAAAAGGAACAGGTATTTTTTGTTTTGTTTTAGGAGTCAGAAGCCTTGATAAAAAGCCTTTAGAAGTTAAAGCCTTATAAGAAAAGCTCTAGCTATCAGAGGGGTTCAGAATATCTAGATCCTCAATTCTATTTTCCTTAGAATACCTAAGAAACAACTGTGAAGTTCAGTTGGGAGTCCATTGGGGGGTGAAAGGCACCTCAGTTTATATCAGTCCCAGACATCACAGTCACAATTTCCATGACCACTGAAGGGAGTTGAGGCCTAACTTCTGTATCCAGCTAGAGCTATGAGGAACCTCAGGAATCATCACCAGAACAGGAAGAGTTCCCACTTTAAAGACGTCAAAGAAAGGTGATGACTCTATCTTGTTCAACCTGAGAGTTTCAACTGTACTCACCATGTAGCCTGTGATGGGAGCTTCTGGTGGAGCAATGCGAAGTCCATGGCTTAGGATTCCCACCCAGTTACCCAATCGAGAACCATGCCACAACAGCATCCTAAGGAAGAGCCATTAATATCAACCTGTATCTTTTGTTGTTTCCCTTCCAGCTAGGCTATGGAGAGGACCAAGTCTCCAGTTTCCTTTCCTCCCTCTCTGCAAATCATACGAACACACTCAGTTCTTTAGGGAATTAGTTGAAGAGAGATCAGAAGCTTTTCATACCAAAGCCAGAAACAAACTCAGACCTGTTGGGAAGATCCTTCTTGAAGGCTTCGTTCTCACCCTCTTTCTCCACTTCGAAGACATCAAGCAAGGTCATAGTATAGTCATTATGAGTAGGAGCATGGGTAGAATGTAGATATTCCGAGATCACCTGGATGAGGAGATTGAAGAAATTAATGATTTTGGGCTTGGGATCGCTAACCCCACATGGGCTCCTTGATGCATGTAGGCAGAAGTATCTTTCTCAGGCTCCAACAGATTTTACAAGCCATTTAGGAAGAAGCCCCACTTAGCTAAAGATCTTATGGTTGATTAAAATATGGATTCTTTTTGTGAATGGATTTTATAGCTTAATATCAGAAATGATAATAGGAAAAGGAAACAGGAGCACTTTCAATGGGGGAAAAAGAAATCTTTTATCACTTTGAATTCATGGCAGGAATAGTCCAGGGGGTGAAGAGCACAATGCAGGTTTCTATAATGCTGGTCCAGTGGGTGCTCTGGGGTCTTCAGCTCTGTCTTCACCAGCTTGATAGCAATTTCAATGTCTCCCAGTGCCTGAAGGTATAAGATAGATAGCAGTGAGAGATGAATCCCAGGGCTAATAAAGCTAAATGAAGTAGGACATCCATCAACGCACACATCTCTCACCTCCAAAAGCTGTATCTTATCTTTCAATTCTTGCTCTGTTCGGATTAGTGGTGGAGTGTGGAGCCTAGGACCAGAGATATAAGCAAATTGTTGTGTACACAAGTGTTAGTGGTTCACAAGAAGAATGACTCAAAGGACTAAAATAAACTCCATAAAAAAGTGGGCTAAGGAACCAGATTACTTAGAGTAGATCAAAACCTGAGAATAGAATTTCCAGGTATATTTCCAGGTACTATGAATAGGACAAGAGTTAGAAAGGAAAAACTTTCTAATTTTCTAACTTAAGGCTTGCGTCACAAAGGACTGCAGAATTCCCTTCTACATGGGATGCTTATGGATATTTGATTTATCTCCTGATAACAGGTTCTCATGGGAGAATGACTGTACTTCTTTTACAGTTGTGGGAAATAACAAGGAATAAATCTGCTTGCAGTCAAAGAAAGGGGTGTTTCCCTGGTACTTAACAATGCTAGGTTCAATTCTTTCTAAACCTAGGAACTCTAATTTAGCTGAAGATGAGGGATATAATCTGACAAGAAGACTCAAATTCCTAAACAAGAGACTGACTGCATTTCACAGACTCCCCATTTCCTGAGTTGTACAATCCTAGCTTTGGATTGAAGAAAGCCTTTTGTTTCTCAAGGGCTGAGAGACTGTCAATAAAGTTACTTTCTTCTGCTGGTAAAGTTCTTGGCATTGATGGAAAGGACAAAAGACTGAAGAGATATTATGATGGTGGTATCCCAGAAGCAACCTTACCCAAAGTCATGTGGGATCCTGGTATAGAACTCATTACATGCTTCCACCAGGATTCGCCCACTGCGACCAGACCGGATGCAATCTTCTATCTTCTTAAGTGACTGGTAACCTGCCTTGATTTGTGCCACCGTCAGCTTCCCTATAGACCCAGTCAAATACCAGATTTCCTAAATGAGTTTCTGATCTTTCTCTTTAGACAACAAATTCCAGGCTCCCTCTCCTTATGCCACCTCCAATTCAGTACTACTACCAGGGAAGCCCAACCTAGACTCATGGGAGAGAAAGAACATTCCACTTTGGGGACTGGGGAAAGAAGTGAAGAATTCAATACAGGGCTCATACCCAGTGGGGCTTTTTTGATATCATACTTCATCTCCACCATCATTTCTTCCATGGTCTGAATGTTGCAAATCAACTCCATCAACTCTTGGACTGGAAGCTCTAGCTGACACTCTACTTTGGGAGGTGAAATGGGAGCAAATGTCCCTTCCTTTGATTCTTCTTCACCCTGAGACAGATTACAGAACCTATCTGGAAAGGATTATAGAGGTAATCTAGTTCTATCCACTACATAAACCTCTTCTACATAAACAAAGTCACGCAGTCTCTGTTTGAGTACTTCGTGTGGTAGCAAATTCATTATTTTTAGAGGCAACCCATTCCATTTTTAGATATCTTTTATCATTACAAAGTTCTTTTTTCTTTTTTTTCTAGATTTGTGATTTCATTGGCAGAAGCAATCCTCCATAAGGAACTTCCTCAACCAATATAGATGGGGAGGTCCTTTGTAAAGAAGTCTTAAAGAATTGCCTGGGGCAGTGAGAGGTTAAGTGACCACAATGAGTTAAGGCTGAATTGCAAGCCAAATCCTCTGGACTCCAAGGCAAGCTCTCTATCCACCATATCTAGTTCTCAAAAAGTTCTTTACATTGAGCCAAATCTGCCTCTGTAATTTCTGCCCGTTGTTCCTACATCAGCACTCTAAAGAAACACAGAATAAATCTACTTCCTTTTCAAATACTTGAAGATAGCTATCAAGTCCCAAGTCCTCTTTTACAAGCTAAATATCTCTAATTCCTTTGGCTATTTCCAGAGCCTTTAGTGTCCTGGTCACTATTATCTGATCACAATTCTATTTATCAGTGGCCCTCTGCTTAAAGAATGGTAGCCAGAGCTGAACACAATACTGCAGAAGGAATCTTACCAATGCACAATACAATTGGACCGCTACCTTTTTTGTAATATACACTACTCTTCTACTAATGCACCATAAAACAGCAAATGAAAATTCCCTATAACCTCTAAGGACATAAGAGAGATCTGCTCCCTCCTCCTGTCTACCCCGTCTCATTCTGATAGCTCCAACTAACCAGGCTTATCAGTCACAAAAATTAGTAAGTCCTAGTCCTCAGGGAATGGTCAATCCTCAGAGGAAAAGGTAGCTCCAGCTAAGGTGTGCTGACTACAGCATGATCATTTTGCTAGCTCTCATCCTGACAGTGAGACGGAATAGCTTTTCCCCAGAGGTAAGGTTATAGTATACCTGAGTATTGGTTGTATAGTCCATCTGCAGCATATCATATTTCCCAGGGACTTTCTCAAAGCTGCCACGATCTTCCCAACTATTCTTTGTTTTGTCAAAAAATCTGTGGAGTTCAAAGGAGAAGGGGGAAAACTCCCATGGATGAAGCTACAAGGGCATTTTCAGCAGTCCTGGGAGGACTGCCTCCTCACAAAGGATCTTCTTAAAGCCCCACTTTCTGCACAGAATGCTCTCATATATCGCTTTCCCATAAAACCTGTACTCAAGGATTCTGGAGGGATGGGAAAAGCCAGGAAAGAGAGAGAACTTAGAGGAAAGATCCTAGGAGATCCTAGGAGTATTCAATGTATACGTACATAAATCACTGAACCTAGGCATAGAAGAGCCCAGGACAGCGCAAATAGCTCCCATTTTTCTGTCTTGATATGCAGGTATGTCTAGGGACTTTAGTAGGTGTTGGGATACATGGGGGCGGGGGGCAGGGAGAGGAAGGAGGAAACTGGAGTTGGAGTAAAGACAGTCTTAGATCTCTAGTTAGATATTCTCCAGACACTGAAGTCTCTTTTTCCCCCTGCCTTCCCAAATAATCCAGCCCAACACCATATACTTGAACTTTATGGCCCCTTTAGTCAGCTTCAGAGAGGTTAAGCTGATAATTCCTACTTGACTAAGAAGGTAACATCTTAGTTAAAAGAAGAGATGCTTTGGAGGATACTTTCCTACCCACTTGCTAGGCCACTCACTTCTTCTGAAATATTTCCTTGGCTTTGTTGAGGTCCCCAGAACAGGTCACCAAATTGTGCTGTCCAACCTTCCCAACTGCAAAGGAAATACCAGTGAGAATGTCAGTCCTTCAGAGAAGCTCAACCACTGTACAGCTGCTAAAGACAGAGAAAAACATCATTTCTTCATAACTGCTATTCACTGCTAGGCCAAAAACAGGCCACAATGGTTGAAGGGGACAAAGAAATTACAGGGCTTGAGGAGCTGGGTAGAGTTCGGAGATATGTTGACTTTCTCAATACAGATAACACATACATCTGCCATAAAAGACAGTAAGACCCAAAGCTAACTGCCAAATTGCTCTTAGTTTTGATAGGGTCCTCTTAGATGCTGCAGGATAGAGACTGCTTCTCTTTGTACTTACTTCCACCTCAGGAGCAGGAACTATATTTCTTTCCTCAAGAAACCCAGATTGATCTTTCTACCACTCCTACCCCTCAGGGTTCCCATATGATCAATTCTAATCCAGAAAAGCCTTCAGTTATTGGCAAATTGTCCTTCCAATTTTTCAAATAGGGGCAGCTAGGTGGCCTAGTGGATAGAGCACTGGCCCTGCAGTCAGGAGGACCTGAGTTCAAATCCAGCCTCAGATACATAACACTTACTAGCTATGTAACCCTGGGCAAGTCACTTAACCCCATTGCCTAGTCAAAAAAAAAACAAAAACATCTTTTCAAATGATGAACCCCACCCCCACTCCCAAATCCATCACCTCGGCCCCATCTCATCCAGACACTAAAGTTTTTCTGTCCATCATCTTCCAGCAATTGGATGATATAATACTTGTTATTGTTGAACTGGAGATTGGTCTATAATTGAGATAAAAAGAGAGCACACAAACATAAGCCAGTTTGCATAGGAAATTCACATAAACAAATGACTCTTCTTTGGATATAAACACCAATTATCCCCTGGGAAATAAGCAGTGTGGGAGAGAAAACTTAATTTTATGAGAAAGCGCTGAGGAAGAGGAATGAGAACCAAAAGAAACTGCCATTTCCTTACAGATTTTAGAAAGCATTCTGCAATTCCAAGGATCAGAAGAGCCAGTGAGGGAAGCTAGGTGGTGCAGTGCATAGAGTACAGGCCCTGAAGTCAGGAGGACCTCAGTTCAAATCCTGCCTGACACATAACACTTACTAGCTGTGTGACTCTGGGCAAGTCACTTAACCCCAACTGCCTGACTTAAAAAAAAAAAAAAAAAAAGAAGCCAGTGAGCATCCTGAAGCTCTGAACTCAGTACCAAGTAAGCTGTTCCCTTTGCTCCTTCTCCCACTTCTTCATCCTTCCCCACCCTTAAAACTCCCAGGCCATTTGATTCTCCTTGTTCTTAATCCAGACTAGTCTCTAGTGATCATTTTCCCAGGGAAAACAACAAATAATTTTACAATGTAATTATCACAAAGAAACAACCTCCCTCAAACCTAGAGGGGCAGGACTACTCTAGTTCTTGGTTCTGGATGTTTGCTCTTTTGCTGGTACTGACCACAACAGCAGCTTTGTAGCAATCTGACAGAGAGCTGAGAACAGGACAATGGTTGAAGAGGACAAAGGGCAGGGATCTTTGACCCTTCAAGTTGGGGTGTGGAGTGGGGGCCACGTAGGCCATTCTGGGAAGAATGTGACCGGTAAGTAGTAGCAGCAGAGGCAGCGTACAGCTGTGGATTGATTGGAGTGAGGGGAAATCCACAAAGCAGAGCTTGGCCGGCCTTCACACTGGAATACCTTTCCCTGCACTGTCTGGTCTGGCACACACTTCTGTTGATTATCTACATAGACCTTTCTACCCTACCCTTCTCAGTCTCCTAAACATAGTTTAAGAACTTTAGAGTTAGAATGGACCTTGTAGTTTGTTTCATCCAAAGTCCTCATTCTGAAGAGAAAGCATAAAAGAAACTGCCAGTTTCCCAGCAAAAGAAGAGGTGGGTATAAGACAGCATAACAGGTTTGTAATTGGAAAAGCTGTTGTAACTGGTGAGACCTATTAAGTAAAAAATTTCCTTTCCTTTTCTCCCCTCCCCATTACCACTCCTAAATAAGAACTATAAGGTAACTTTATAAAAGAAAGCCAAGGAATTATTTTTGATAAAGTGATTTATTTTGCTTTTCAAGGAAACCTGCTGACAAACAGCTTCAGCTTAAGACGTCTTGAGAAAGATTTGATTCTAATAGGAGGCAGGTATAGTATTGTGTTATAGCGAGTACTGCCAGCCAGTTAATACCTAGTGTAAAGAATCCTGAATTAGAAACACATGAACACTAGAACCCTAACAAGTAAACAAAAAGTTATTTTTCAAAACAGGTCTTTCCTTCTTACCTGGTTCAGCATAACATCATACACATCACCCCCTTCACAGTACACGTGGGCCTAGAAGATGACATGTCAGATATAAGAAGAGCTGGCATTTCCCCCCCAAAAAATTATCGTTTGCAAAGCACTTTACATAATCGATCTCGTCCTCATAACAACACTTTGAGGGAAGTTTTCAAGCACTATTGCTGCCCTCATTTACAGAGGAGAATGAGGTTCAAAGACATTAAACAAGTGCTCACAGCCATGTACAGCTGGTCATTGTTAAAGGCAGCATTTGAACCCAGATCTCCTGGAACCCCAAATCCTGGTTTCTCTTCACTATACTCTGACACCAGGAGAGACTGGGCCCTGAGCAAGACCTCAGGACTTTTCTCATCTCTACAGAGACACATTATGACAGAGAGAAACTTCAATGAAAATGTGCCAGAAGTGGCCCTGACCAAGGCACTCATCTTCATTTGCAGATCCCAGAAGCAATGGCAGCAGGCTCCTCCAAACATCTTGCATTACAATTTAAACACCTACTTCTCTGCCCTATTTCCAGCAGGATCAAGTTATGGCCCAGTTCTTACTGCCTCTGCCCCACACCCAACGTATGCTCCCATCCTATGGAATGGGTTCTTTGGGGACAGGGTACACAATCTGCTGACAAAGGGGAGATAAGGCTGAACATGGCCCCATAGTCCTCCAGCCACAGGAGGGGTGAAATCACTAGCACTAAATCCTCTTTTAGCAGCAATATCTACCAAAGGTAGGACATTATTTTCTAAAGAAAAATAGCAAAGCAATTTGATTAAGGATTAGGTCAAGGGTCTCTTACCTTTCCCACCTTAACCTTACACTCCGGATCCACTGGAGCTTTGCCCTTCAGTAACAAGGTCTTCACTACTGAGGAGATATAGGTAAGCATTGTTTACAACTGCTGCTGGAATCAGAGAAAAATGCAGGGGCTAGCCAACACCAACACCCTTTTCATATGGTAATCTTTCTATTTCCTGACCAATCCTGTCTGGATAACTAGGAGAAAGGAGAACCAGACAGAGCCATTTGGGAATACCTCTGATTAATGGGCATGACAAGGTTGAAAAACCAGAAAAGGAAATTGAGAAGGAACCCTCTGGGAGAGAGGAAAGTGATCAGTAGTGTGAGATGCTGCAGAGAGATCAAGAAAGATTGGGAAGGAAAAAGACCATTAGATTTGGCAATTAAGAGATCACTGGTACTTTGAAGATGGCTGTTTTAGTTGAATGACAGGGTCGGTAGCCTTCAGGGCCTCCAAAGGATAGTTATCTCAGATCACATCTCAAAGTAGCACAAAAGTTACCCAGCAGAGCTGAAGGGTCCAATATAAGCCCTTGATGTTCCCTTCTCTCCCACCTGAAGCTAACCTTTGTTCTCTCTGTTTGTGTCATTCTTCTCAGCATCTTCTGCTGCAAGCGCTTGTTTCACTCCTTGTACCACGAATTCACCTCGGGCTTTCTTGGCTTCAGAAGGGCATTCCATAGATAAGGCACTGGATTTGTTTCTAGTACTGCCTCCATTAGCTTCAGTCAACTCCACAGCCACTAAAGGCAAAAAAAAGCACAACATAAAGAGAAGACAGATTTTTTTTTTTACATGTGAGATCTCTCTGGGAGTGCGGCAGGGGGAAGGATATAAGGGGAAATTTTTAGATGATTTAAAAACAAAAGATAGCAATAAAAATGCATTTTAAAAAAGGAAAGGATAAAGGAAATATAAAATATGACTTTTTCTCTGAAAAAGAGGCATTTTTCACAAAGAGTAGGTTAGGCAGTAGAAAAAAAGCTAAAACTTCAACACACGTTACCAACAGTTCCTATGTCCAATATTCTTGACATCAATATTGTCTCTGAGCAGTTTCCTCCTTAATCTACGATACCTGAAGAGCTAATGGCCCCAGGTCATTTGTCAACCAGTGAATGACCATGAGCTAGGGATCTGACCTCCTCCACTTCTGGTGTTTTTTGTGACTCTTGGTCCTCACTCTTTGATTCCTTCTATGAACTGAGACTTGTTCTTCACAGTGTTCCCCAAGCTCCTGTGAATGGATCATGCCCTATCCTGAAACAATGGACGTTTTCTCCTTGCTGTCTCTTTACTTACCGGCCCCCCCACCCCTGGCCCCTTCTCTTCAGGTTACTTTTCCCGGTACGTCTCTGTACTTCTTTGAACACCACAGCAGCCCTTGTATAGCTCATTCCCTCTTCCTTTGCTATATCCATAAGAACATCAAATCGGCAATTTCTTTCTTCATACATCAATCCCATGTTGAATCTCAGGCATTTCTCATTAAACTAATGACTACATATACCTGAAGGTCGGCGCTCTATTCTGCGCTGGTATCCACTTTTGCAATTGGTTTGTACCATGTTGCCCAGATCCAGAGTATAATGTTTTCGGCCAAACATCACATCTATCTTCGACTCATTGCTTTCTGCTAGAGCTGCCTCCAGAGCCAGGCAAGTTTTAGCGTCATATGGGATCCAGTCATCTTCCTCGTCACTCTGCCACTGCCAAATAAAATCTAAGTGTAACAATATCAAAAGGAGAATTTTATAAGAATTAAGGTGAAGAAGATAAAAGTGACAAGATTCTGAATTACTTCTACTCTAAAGTATGCATCAGAAAGTTCTCCAAGGAAAATATAAATTGCATTTCTTTCTTTTCCCAAGGTTTTACTGGGTCTTTCAAATCTGAATCAATAAACGTTTATTAGCTGGCTTTGTCTGTTGCAAGTAATCTATCACCCAAAGGTCCTGGAAATCAAAACATCTAATAGAGAAATCCCAAGAGACAAATCAGTTCCCTGATCTTCTGTTTATGGTCTATGAAGAAAACCCAACAAAACTCCTTTTTAATGATAGTGCCAGGGAATAAAGATAATATTCATATTACAAAATGTGTTATGATTAGAGAGAGGCACTATAAATCATTATATCGACAATTAATGTGATTTGTACAGATTACAAGCATATCTATGAATGATAAAATAATTAATAACGGACTTACAGTATCTGTTCCTAAAATGAACACTTCTTGATAAAAGAATATACACTTACAGGAGCTCTGTTCCTTGATGGCAACAGCAATCCTCCTCTCAGTCCTTGTCTTTGAATTCCTCTGGACCATCTTCTTGAAGTCTATCTGAAGCTTCATGTTTCCACTCTCTGATAAGATATTTACCAAAGCATTTCCTTTCCTGAAAGATAACCCCAGTTTGAAACAATCATCCCCACCCAAGTTCCTAAAATCAAAATCCTAGTAGCTGCTATTTACAGACCTCCAGATCACTCCCCTTCATTCATCAATGAGGTCAGTACATGGCTCACAATTTTTCTCTCCTTCACAACTCCTGCCCTCATACTAGGGAACTTCAAAATACACACAGACCCTCCCTCAAACACCCCATCCATTCAGTTCCTCAACCTACTCCCTTCCCATAACCTACTCCTTCACAGCATGTCAGCCACTCACAAAGATGGTCATACCCTTATTCTTGCAATCACCCACACAATGTACCACTTCCATGTTTAAGAATTACAAAATCCCTTTATCTGACCACAATCTAGGCTTTCCACCGGCCCCTCTGCCTTCTGTTGCCAACTCAATTCTTTGTGCACACAGTGATCTCCAATTCCTTGACCCCTCAGTTCTCTCCCAGGCCATCTCCCCTGCAGTAGCCACACTCTCCTCTTTTCCCCATCTTGACCCAGTTCAACTCTACACTGTTCTCAAGTCCCTAGCCCCCTTATCATATCACCCATTGCACCCTGGCAAGCCTCAGTCTTGGCTCATTCCCACCATCCACCACTTTTACTCCTATACATATGTTGCTAAAGAAAGTACAGAAAAGGGGCAGCTGGGTGACACAGTGGATAGAGCTCCGACCTTGGAGTCAGGAGGACCTGAGTTCAAATCCAGCCTCAGACACTTGACACTTACTAGCTGTATGACCCTAGGCAAGTCACTTAACCCCAAGTACCTCACCAAAAAAGGCAAAAACAAAAGAAGGTAGAGAAAATCATACACACATACCTCTTCTACCACTATCTCCTCCTTTACCCATCTCACATGAGGGGGCCTTACTCCTTACCCAGGCTATCCTCTCTACCTGTACAAGCAATTCCATTCCAGCCCATGTCCTCCAACAGGTTGCCCTGTGTCATCTCCACTTTATCTCCTATCTTCAATCTTTCCCTATTGGCTTCCTCCCCACTACCTGCAAAACACGCTCATGTTGCTCCCATCCTCAAAAAACCCTCACTTGATACTTTCATCCTCCTAATTATTGTCCTTTATCTTTTCTGCCCTCTGTGGACTGAAAAAGCTAATACAAGCCTCCATTTTCTCTCCTCTCAACTCTCTTCTTATCCTTTTACCTGTTGCCTCTCTGTTCTACCAAAACTGCTCTCTCCAAAATTACCGATGATTTCTTAATTGCCTTTGACACTGCTGATCACTTTCTTCTCCTGGATACTCTCTTCTCTCTAGGTTTTCAGAGAGAAAACCTAACTTTCTTTTGCAGTTCTCCTCTTACCTATTAGATCCTTCATTCTCCATCTTCTTTGCTAGATTCTCATTTAAGTCATACCTTCTAAATGCTGGATCATCATATAAGTCATACCATCTAACTATGGATGTCCCAAAGTGTTCATTTCTAGGCCCTCTTCTCTTCTCCCCCTATACTACTACTCCCTCTATACTTTGTGATCTCATCAGCTCCCATAAATTTAATTATCATTTTTATGTTGATGATTCTCAAATCTTCCTATATAGCCCCACTCTCCGCTGACCTCTAATTTTGCATTTCCAACTGCCTTTCAGACAGAAACTGGAAATCCAATAGATAATATCTTTCCCCCTACACCATACCCCAACATCCTATGTTCCCTATTATTGTCAAGGGCAATACCATCCTCGAAGTTCCTCAGGCTCACAAGTGTCAAGTAATTAAGAGACACTCTGTTTTCCAGAGCTAAGGCCTAGCAAGCAAGCTGTATCCTGAGCTTGGCATAACAACAATCCTTTATAGTCACCCTCTGGATGATCTCAGCCACAGCAAAATCCCAGAATTGGGATTTATGATTTTCATATTATGTGCAATGATCATACTAACTACTTAGATTTGTTGTAGCTTCCCTATTTTCCAGGGGATCCTGACCTGAGAGCTAGGACTGCAGTCAATGTGCTGCAGCAGAAAGTGATCAATCACATCTCCTGATAGGCTAACAGTCTATGTGCTTGTAACTGCTAAGTGAACTGAACCAGGTGCTGCACTCCTGTTCCTGCCATACTAACTCTGGTTCTATACTCCAATGGACAATCACAAGACTCAACAACCCTAACGACTTGAGACAGTCACCAGGCTCAACAATTCTCGTGACTTGGAGACTGTACCCACAGGACCAAAGAATGCCTGTACTGTCCCCAAAACATGCCTGCACAAGTGGGCCTGCTCTGGAAACTGTTTACTCAAGACCTAAAAATGACTGTGTTAGAGTCCAGCCCTTTGTGGTTTTCATGCTTAAAAACTGTACCCCTTGGGGCAGCTAAGTGGCACAGTGGATAGAGCACCAGCCCTGGATCCAGGACGACCTGAGTTCAAATCTGCCCTCAGATGCATAATGCATACTAGCTGTGTGACCCTGGGCAAGTCACTTAACCCCATTGCCCAGCCAAAAACAAAAACAAAAACTGTACACCTGCCATAAGCAAGTAAGCCCTCCTTCTCTGGAAGACACACTTCACTTGCAAGCATTTTCCTCACTCTGAAATTAAACCACTATTTGATTCCTGACTCACCAGCCTCTGGCACCAGCTTTGTTCAGCTCTGGTCATCCTCAGGTTAGGGACTGGTCCAGTCCAGACTACATTTAAAAATCCTTTTGTCACAAGTTAGGTGTCATTCTAAATTCCTCATTATCTCTCATCCCACATATCCAATCAGTTGGTAAAACCTATCAATTTCACCTATGGAACGTCTCTCAAATATGTCCCTTATTCTCCTCTGATACTGCCACCACTCTAGAGCAGACCTTTTATCACCTCACTCTTGGAATATTACAACAGCCTGCTGGTGGGTCTGCTTCTCTAAAGGTTTTCCACATTATTCCCCACACTCCCCAACCTCCATTCAGCACCCAAAGTATTTTCCTAAAGTGCAGGTCCAAACATATCACTCCTCTACTCCAACATCAAATACAAAATCCTTTGTTTGGAGTTCAAAGCCCTCCATGACCTATCTAGTCTTAGTATACCTTATACATCCCACTCCCTCCTCTCCACAAACTGTGATACTTGCCTCCTGTTCCAGGAACAAGATACTCCATCTCTCAGCTCTAGTCATTTTCTCTGGCTGTCTCCCATGTATAGAACATTCTTCTTCCTCATCTACACCTACTGGTTTCCCTTGATTTTTTTAAGTCCAATCTAAAATTCCACCTTCTACATGAAGTATTTCCCAAGTCCTTTTAATTCTAATGACTTTCCTCTTTTAATTACTTCCTAATTGTCCAAGCCAGGAAACTGAACCACTGCCATTTGAATTGTCTCAGGAATATTCTGAAGATCACCTGGCAGGGTAAGGTACCAGACATTGCCAAGCATTCAAACTCTACTGCAGACAGTGCAACTCCGATAGGCTCCGATAGATCAGTGATAATATCTGCAGTCAATAACTCTCTACCACAGAAAGCTGGATGAGACCAATTCAGTACAAGAGTAAAAGTCTGAGCATGTCCCTGAAAGAAGGTCTCAATTCTCCTGCTTCTAGAATAGGAAATTGTCCCCAGGAAAACTGATCCTTTGGACCAAACCTTAACTTCAGACATAGAAAATGATAGGAAGTTCTGAATAGTACTGACCTGAAAGCCTCTGTGATCTCCATATCCTGAGCAGAAGAGTGCCAGCGCCAGACACCCTCTGAGTCTTCCCATTGCCAACGAAATAAGAGGGTAGGTGAGGCTGCCTCACTCTTTTCAGACTCTGGCTCTGGGCACTGACGCTTTACCCTTGAACCTGGAGAGGAAACAGAAATGGAACACGGGGACTCCTATAGGGGTTGGAGTCTGGGTGGATCAATAAGAGTATGAAAGGGAAGAACCTGGAATACCACGATATAGATTTGAGGGCTGGTCCTGGAATACTGAAGACTGGTTCAAATCCTACCTAGGACAATTCCTAGCTGTTTTACCTCCCCCCACCTCCTGGGTACACTTGCTTAACTTTTCTGAGCCTCAGTTTCCTCATCTGTAAGGGGACTGGACTAGAAAGTTACTAAGGTCCCTTCCAGTTCTAGCTTTGGATGTGTAAAATGAAAGGGCTGGACTCAATAGCTTTTAAGGTCCCTTCCCTGTCTGATCAAGTTAAGCCAAGAAGCATTAATGATATGCATACTTTGTATGTCTCAGACAAAGGGCAAAGCGCTGATAGGTCTTCTCTCAGGGAATTCACAGTCTAATGGTGGAGACAATACAGCAAACTGTGTTCTAGTTCTCGTTCTAGATCTGTAAAATGCAGGGGCGGAACTCGATGGCCTTTAAGAGCCTTCCTAGCGAGTGCTGTGATTATCTCCAATTTATTCCACATATGTCTTGTTTGCACTGGGAGGTCCTTGGGGGCAGGGGCTGTTTTCGCCCTTCAGCGGTGCTCAGAACAGTGAAGCACATAGTAGGTGCTCAATAAAGGATTGCTGCTCGGAACCGACGATCCCATGAGGGGCACGGAAAGAACAAGGAGCCAGGGCAGTGAACCAAGATTACATTAACACCAGAGCAGAGGATCCGGGGAGCGGGAGCCGGCTCACCGTCAGGCCGGACCCCTGCCCCCGGGCACCAGCCATCCCCACTGCAGAGTCCCGCCAGGCGGCCCTACCCTCTTCTCGCCAATACCAAGCCCGGGACGCTCCGATTCCCAGGGACCGCTCCACAGGAGGGGGTGGGGAGGTGAGCGCTCCCGCCGCCCTCTCTTTCCAACCCCTTGCAAACCCTAATCCTGAGCCCCCGAAACCTGCTCCGAACCTCGGGTGTGGCCGGTGCTTCTACCCCTTCCGCGCGAGGGCATAGCGCTCTCAACCGAGTCCTGGCCGGTCCACCTTCCTGGACCGCTCTCTGGCTACAGCGCAGGCGCGTGTCCCCGAGGAGTAGAAGAAAACGGGATTTCCCGCGCTAGGAAAGACGGGACGGCCTTTGACGCAAGCTGTTATTTGCATGCCGCTAAGTAGCATGGGGTTTTCGCCCTCTGTTAGAAATGGCATAGATTTGGTGAGCCTTATATAGTAGCACTTAGGCGGAGAAACAGCAGAGGGCGGAGGGAAGCTCATCGTTGGGGCTACAAGCTGAGTGCATTACGTCACTCCTCTAACCCAGCCCTTGGGAAGGTCTGAGATACGGGCCATTAGCGGCCCCAGCAGGGCTCCTCCCGCAATTGTGGGGGGGTGAGTTCCCAGAGAATGGGGCCCGGCTCGGGGGTAGACTGGGCAGGAGAAGCCCATGCGGTTTCACCCCACGTGGGTGTCCTGGGCGGATGCCTCCCTCGACTGGGCTTGGAAACGACTCACGGCCAGCGGAGTGAGTGCAATGGCTGAGGTGGGTTACCTCGTCGAGGGTCCCATAACCCAATTCAGACTACTCTCCCACGCCCTTTAATTTTCAACAGCTTCACGGGGGTAAAAAACACGCCGCCAAAAATTTTATTTGTTTCTTTTCTCTTTTCATCAGCAGCTTTGGTTTCGACTCCAGGAACGCCAAGAGCTCCGAGCCAGGTGCCCCAACCCCTTTTCAACTTCCTTTCATAAGTAGTCTTTCCCCGTTAGACTTGTAAGCTCCTTGAGGACAAGAACTGTTTAATTTGTATCCCCAGCACTTAGCACAGTTCTTGGCGCATAGTAGGTGCGTAATAGTTACTGATTTGACCTTCCCAAAGCAAAGAAAGATAATTTATATTGGGAAACACAACTAGCCTATTAGTAGAAGAGGCTGAGTGTGTGGAGGGGGGATATGCAAATAGGAATGGTTGAGCAACTTTTACCAACCACAGTGATGCAAAATGGTTTTTAAAAAATTAATCAGTAAGCTAAAACAACATATTAGAAAGATTAACATTAGAACCAGCTTCGATTTATCTCAGGAGTGCAAGTTTGGTTCAACACAAGGAAAACTAAATATAATAAATAATTTTAATAATATAAACAATAAAAACCATATGATTATTTCAGTAGATGCTGAAAAGGATTTTGACAAAATCCAGTCCCAAGAGCTAAAAAGAGAAATTCCATTCAAAATGACACAGAAACTATAAAATACTTGAGAGTGGCTCTACCAAGCTGCACCAAGAACCACCTATCAATCTAAGGATGAAACACTATTTGCACATAAATATCTATAGAAACTTTTGTTGCTCATGGGTAGATTGAACCAATTAATAACAATTACAATACTGCCAAAATTAATTTACTTATCCAATTATATACCAATAAAACTACCAAAGGACTTTTATAAAGGTAGAAAAAATGGCAACAGTTATTATGGAGGTCATTAATTTCAAAGGTAATAATGAAAAAAAGTGAGAAAGAAGGCCAGGAAGTGTCTATCATTACCAGATCTCAAACTATTCCACAAAGCAGTAATCCTTAAAAACAATTTGGTACTGGTTTAAAAACAGAGAGGTCAATCAGTGGAATAGGTTAGCTACAAAACAAACATGCAGAGAGAAACAAGTGCAACTGCATAGTACTGACAAGTCCAAATATTCCCATTCCTGGAGGAAGGACTCATTATTTGACAAACACTGCCAGGAAAACTGGGAAGCCATCAGACAAAAATTAACATTAGAACAAAATCTCACACTATATTCTAAACAAGCTCCAAATGAATACATGACCTAGATAGACAGAGTCATATCATAAACAAATTAAGGGAACAAGGAAGAAATAATCTTTTAAATCTATGGATAGGGGAAAATTTTTTCAACACTAAACAAGTGATAGGATAACAGAAGAGAAAATAGATTATTTTGATTAGATGAAATGTAAAAGTTTTTGCACAAACAAATCTAATACAGTTAAAATTAGTAAAGAAACAGATAAATAGGAAAAATCCTTGCAACAGATTTCATCAAAAAAGGTCAAATTTCCAAGACAGTGAATATAACTGATTCTAATTCATGAAACTAAGAACCATTCCCTAATTGATAATTAGTCAAAGTATAAGAACAGGGAATTTTTCAAAGGAAGAAATCCAAGCTATCAATAGCCCATATAAAACATGTTCCAAATCATTAATAATTAGGGAAATTCAAATTAAGGCAACTCTGTGATTCTACCTGATACACATCATTCTGGCACAGTTGAAAAAAAACAACAACAAATGACAATTGTTGAAGGAGTTGTGGGAAAACAGGTACACTAATGCACTGTTGAAGGTGTGTATCAGTTTAGCCATTGTAGAAAGCAGTTTGGAATTATGCTCAGAGTCACTAAACTGGCTATACCCTTTGACCTGCTATCTCAACACTAGATATACTGTCAAAGAAATCAAAGAAAGTAGAAAAGGATCTACAATTACAAAAACATTTTTAGCAGCCCTTTTCATTTCAAATAACCCAAATTGGAAAGTAAGGGACTATCCTCCTACTAGAAAATGGCTAAACAAGTTGTGGTATATGAATATAATGGAATATTATTGAGCCATAAGAAATGATGAGAGTTGTTTCTCAGAGAAAACAGTTCTCAGTTTATGAATTGATGTAGAGTAAAGTGAATAGAACTAGGAGAACAATTTAATGATAACATCATGTGTGGTATGTTTGTGACCCCCCAAAATGATCAAATCAGAGACTTTTTCTTAAGAAAGGCAAAAAGGAGTTTTATTGCTTTCTCATGAGAAAGGACACACCCAGCATTCGCTCAAGATGGCTCCAGCCAGGGTGTGCATCTGAGTGTCTTGTAAAGCAGAATATGCAGACACTATCCGCAATGTCGCTGCCCTAACCCCCTTCGCCTCAACCCATTGGCTGGGTATATTAGGGGCACAATCTATTCGCGGAATTCTAACTTCGGAAGGAAGTTCGAAACAAGTTAGAGGGGAGTGGTCTCTTTGCACAACCAGAACATCCAGTTTAGCCACATGGAACATCCAGTTTAGCCACATGGAACATCCAGTTTAGCCAGAATGTGCTGCAAGGCATCTGGGTCAGTCTCGCAACAGTCATAAGTATGAAAAGTAACTGAGGTCGGGGTTAGTTCATTCCCGTGAGGGGGCTTCACCCTATATTATCCCATTCACTCCCTTATCTTGTTTACATATTTATGTAAACCAATAAACCAAGAAATCAATTAATCAATAACCTAATCTCCCCCTGTCCTCTTTTCTTATCAATTCTGTGGGAACCAAACTGTTAGCATTCCTCACAATCATATAGAAAAATAACTTCCAAAGATTTTATAACTCTGACAAGCACCATGATAAGCCACAAATCCAAAGGATAAGGATGAAACACACTACTCACCTTCTGACAGAGAATCGGTGAACTTAAAATGACAAAAGAGACATACATTTTCAGATATGTGGGAATTTGTGGGAATGGGAATCTGCTTTGCCTAACTATATAAATATATGTTTATGAGTATGTTTTTTGCTTTTGATTTGCTCACTAGGAGTAGTAACAAAAAAAATACTTGTTAACCAATAAAAAAAAGTTCATATGATCATAGATTTAGAAATGGAAGTGCTCTTAGAAGCTACTTTGTCCAAGAATCCTCATTTTATAGATGAGGTAACAGATTCCAGAGGTTATCTTTCCCAGTGTTACACAGCTGTCTGAGGTGTTATTCAAGCTGAGGTTTTCCTGACTCCAAGTCCAATCCTGTATTTTCCACTACACCACATTGTGAGTACTTTTCTTACTTCATCTTCCACTTGAATTCTCCCCTACCCCAATATAGGCCTTAGACAAGCCTGTGTTCCATATCTTTTTCTCTCCAGGTAGAAGGGTAATGCTTCAGTGCTTTGGGCCAGAGAGGCAAAACACCCACAGGCACATTTCACTGTTAATACGAGGGCTTTTGGGGAGAAAAGGTCGTGACACTTCTCACATTGATATTCCCCTGCTCAATGTATGATCTTCGAGGCTTTCAGGGTCATAGTTTTCTTCTCCCATTACCTAATACTTTAAATAGTTTAGGCTAAAGCTCACATATCCTGGGACAATTTCATATCCTGGGAGCAGGAAGATTAGCAGATGAAAATTCACTCTCTGATTCTCTCTTTGTTCCAGTTGTATTCTGTCATTCTGGGTGAGGCCTACCATGGGCCTAACCTTTGGCTTTCTTGTATTGCCATTCTCAGCCCAGCCCTCCACTAGAGGGCAGCTGACCTTAGATGTTTACGAAAATGACACTTCCCCCTTGGGAATGCACATTATTTTTTTTATAAGCTCTCCTATGAGAAAAATACGTTACAGCTTAACATCTAGAGATTGGTTTTCTCTGGTGTTATTAAAGGTTCATGGCATCCTTTGTATTTTATGGTTGGACCTGCTTTTAAAAAAAATCTTTTTTATTATGAACTTAAGAAGATGGAAGCATGAATGTTTTAATGTAAAACAGAACAAATCCTGGATCAACAAACATTTATTAAATGTCTGTTATGTCTGACACAGTTCTAAACGTTGGATATACAGAGAACTGGGATCATTCCTGCTTTCAAGGAACTTATAGTCTACTCTCAGATAGAAGGAGAGTGACTAGAATGGAATTGTCTACCAGATCTCAACTTCTCACTAAAATATTTGTATAATCACGTTAAGGAAGGAACTACAAATTCCCCCTCAGATAATGATTCCTCACATTAAGATTAACAGTATGTTATACAGACCACCCCTAGCCTCCACCAGGAGATATTGTAGTACATACAGTTTGAGGCGGGAAATAGCAGCAAGAATTTACTTGTATAGTTTTGCGCCAATAAAAAAAGAAGCTTGTGCAGACAGGTCTTTCTTTATCTAAAATTCAATTACACAAATTCGACTTTATGTAAAGAATTCTGAAAGAAGTTTCAGCCAACCATCAGTGATAAAGGCTAAATGCAGTGGGTTGGGAAGAGCAACAAATTGCACACCTATGTTAACTTTACTGTACA